AAAAAGATTTTAGTGCTCCATCGCAAACTAAATTAATGTTTATAAATCAAGAATTCGAATATATTTTTCAATAAAAAGAGTCGACAAAACAACACAGAACAGCTTTCTCGCAACCATATAAGATTTATGAACCAATCCCCCAGCAATTTAATAATAATTCATGAATTTTTACCTCTCGGAGAAGAGTTAGTAGGACATAAATAAGAGAAAATGTGATGTATAATTACTATAAAAAAAAATTTAATCCTAATTTCGAATAGAAATCAATAGATCTGAGTTGTCATGTTTCCTTCTAAACATGTCTTAAGGAATAATAAAATTATTGTATAGAAATAACTTATGAAAAGAAAGAAAAAAAAGAATATTCACAGAAAATCCAGATTTATGCTAATCAATTATTAGTTATGATAAATGACTAGTATAAATGTGGACTTCCTGGAAATATTCTTTTTTTTTCTTTCTTTTCATAAGTTATTTCTATATAATAATTTTATTATTCCTTAAGACATGTTTAGAAGGAAACATGACAACTCAGATCTATTAATTCCCATTCGAAATGATGATTAACCTTTTCCTTTATGCTAGTCACGTATTGGCTTCTTTTTTTTCTACATATTTACTCTCTTTTCAACAAGCATATCATCAACTTCATATGATTTTTGCCGTTCTAAAGTTGTTCAGATACAAAATTTTTTGATTTCAAATTAAAAATAAAATATAAATTATTAATTTGTGACGAATCGAATACGAGAGATCCCGATTTGAACTCCCTCCATCTCAAGCACAAGTTCAGCTCAAGTTATGTGGCAATGAACACCTATTTGTTACCTATTCAAGGACTTATTTATAAACGACCTTCAAGTAATGAGCGGGACAGGAAAGAAAGAGGAAGAATGATATTGTCAATCAAAACTGAACAAACCTGCTGGACACTACAGAGATAGTCAAACACTTCTGGACGTTCAAACATCGACTATGAATATTCTCTGGTTTTCGGTACATTTTTTGGTGGAATTTCGGTCTTCAGCTCGTTTTGTAGAGCATTTTCATATAGGGAACAACCGAAATAAATCAGGTTTGTATGAATATGATGTTGAAATAATTGAAGATCATGCTATATGGACACGTACGTAGTTTCTTGAACAGTAATATGAATGCGATGATATTTTTGAGCGCCATTGTGATTGAACTTTGTTTTGTATTTTATTTTTCTTATATTTTTCTTATATTGGAATCACTAAATGTAGAGTTTATTGAAAAATGACAACTTTGAGACAGATCATTGCTTTAGTTGTTGCATATGGGATATCTGTTTTTTTTTGAATATGCATGTATTTAGTAATGAAAATAATTATACATGTATGGATAATGTTTATAACTCAAGAAATATATATGTCGTATCGAAGTTACACCGGTCGATGAATTTATAACTTTGACGTTCATACTTATCGAAATTACAACTTCGACAGAGAAACTTGTTGAAGTTATTTTTAATTCATTTATCAATAAATAATTTATTAAACTAAATATGCTACTGTTGAATCTATGATCAAAAATTAAAGTTTTACTAATAAATGTTCATTTTTTCCACAATATTATAAAAAACAATGAATATTTATTAGTAAAACTTTTCTTTCTGATCATAGATTCAACACTAGAATACTCAGACTAATAAATTATTTATTGATAAGTGAATTCAAAATAACTTCGACAAGTTTCTCTGTCGAAGTTGTAACTTCGTCAATATCGATCGACAATGTTATAACTTCGTCGACCGATGTAATTTCGATACGACATATATATATATGCAGCTTAATATAGCAAGATGGAGCTTTTTATTCTTAAATCAACATGTTGCTGTTTATAAAATAGAGCAAACATTATCGTAAGAGTTATCTTGAAGAATCTAATTAGTTAGACCTACAATATGCAATATTTGTTTATTTAAGTTGAGCTTGCCATGTTTTTACTTGTCAATCCTTTTTTTCATTTAACATATTGTATAAATCAACTGTTTCGAAGTGAGTTCTTATACAATATAGCTATTTATTGTATACTTTTCATTATACTATTTCTCCTAAAACAAAGTTGTTGACTATTGAGAACCAATACAATGTGAAACAAAAATTCATTCCGTAGCATATGACTGATCCAACATATTAAATAAAAAAAGAATAAACAAATAAAATTGTGATGAAATCGAACACAATTAAAAGTGTTTCATATTACAGCTGTTGACCACTTGATCGACGAAAATGCGCGTGACGATAGTGTTTACTCTATTTTATCAACATTGAAATATTGTGTAAGCCAAAAACTCTCCCATCGTCCTCCATTTACTTGTAAATAAATTCTCGATTTATATGCATCTATTTATTTCTATTTTTCTTACTTAATTATTATCGCACCGCAAAAAAAAGTTTCTAAGATAAAACACGATCATAACAAATACAAAAGAACAACACTAGACATAATCTTCTGGTGCTCGCAATGCGACTATATCATCCACAATCGCATCAAACAGGTCACGTCCATCCAGCCTTGAACGCCACATATGTTCACATAGAGACGAATCGACAACAGCTCAATAGAACCCTTGCCTATTCCTATTTGCTAGCATCACCACAATAACAAAAAACAAAGAAAACACTTACTAGTCCTAATACGGGTATGATAGGAATAATAATAAGATGAAAAAGGTAAAAAGTTAAAGAATACGATAATATTAAAAAGAGAAAAAAATCTGCGGGCCGATAACAACCAAGGACCCTAGTTTTGATTCATTTATTCAATGAACTGTTATTTGATTACAAAAATTTATAAAAACAGTCTTTGCAGATATAAATCGCGAAGCACGATGAATCACGCTTTTCCTCATCACATGCAGATTTTTGAATCCTACCTCTTTGCGGCACATATCTTCACCATCCTTGTCTTTAATTCGCAAGAACTTGAACCAAGAAAAAATTCATCTCTTACAATAAGTGTACGTTGATGTAAGGTCTTCGATCATGCATCAGCAAAATCTTGAGCAGTAACCGGCAGATCCCATGCTGTCTTTCCAAGTACTTGAGGGCCCAAGGGTATCCCCCAATAGTAGGACTTGAGGACCTAAGGGTATCCCCCAATAGTAAGACTTGAGGACCCAAGGGTATCCCCCTATAGTAGCACTTGAGGATCCAAGGGTATCCCCCAATAGTAGGACTTGAGGACCCAAGGGTATCCCCCAATAGTAGCACTTGAGGACCTAAGGGTATCCCACAATAGTAGGACTTGTGGACGGTGGACACTCTTCTGAACGTTCCCGGGAACGTTTTGGGAACGGTAACTTCCCACCCCTAAGTAGGACTTGAGGACGGTAGATACTCTTCTGAACGTTCCTGCGTTCCCGGAAACTGGTAACGTGGCGTTACCGTTCCCGGGAACGCGGGAACGAAAAAGTTCCCAGTTCCCGGGAACGGTAACGGTAACTTCCCACCCCTAGATATATCTAGATGTAGTGCACGATGGCTCTTTCTTCGAGTGAACTGATAATGGGAAACTGCACCACAAAGAAGAGACAATATCTTACACATATGGAATAATTGAGAGTATTTGTAGTTGCTACTCATGGCACTATAGTGAATAGTCAGTCATGAAACATGATGTTTGTTTGTCATAGCTATTTCAAATAATTATAGTAATAATACATGAGATTTTGTTAAATTTTCAAGTATATGGAGATATTGATTTAATTGGATTTTTCATTTATTTTATTTATGATGGAATTTTCGATCTTATACGATCATCATCAGCTTATAACTAGATATATTGATCAAAAACATGAGTTATATCAAAATTTGTTATTAGTTATTGATTATTTGTTAATGTTGTACTTGTTATATTTACAGTTATAAGCTGATGATGATCGTATAAGATCAAAAATTCCATCATAAATAAAATAAATGAAGAATCCAATTAAATCAATATCTCCATATATACTTGAAAATTGTCATAGCTATACAAAGTCAATGTCGTGATCTAACCAAGTAGTGAATTCAGCGTAAGATCTATTATCGTGAGGAATATCTTATTAGTCAATATTTAGTTCTTCTGAGATATAAGACTGTTCTCTATTGGCTAAAATCTCTCTACATAAGTCTTTTGATTATCAAATGCTGGAAGAATATTGAATGTATAATTGTTCTATTATCTTCTATCGTTCTTATCGATTTACTAAGCATACAGATTAACTTCTGTGTTGTTGTTTTTTTGATGGAATCATCAAATTAAAAAATAATATTTGTAGAAAAACTACTCAACTTAATTACTGATTTGCTAATAACTGAACTGATTGAACTATTATTTGTGTTGCCTTCGGCTGCTTGCCGTATTTCGTTACATTTGCGCAATGGTTGATTTTGCGTTCGAATAATTCGTTGTCAAAGATACTACCGAAATTCACTACAATCATTTATTTTTCTACAGTGTAGTTTCGCTGAATTTTTTAATATTTGAATTTTTTTGCGTCAAATTTTAACGTCACGATTTTTTGCACAGAAATAGAGTTTGTATGAATACATGGTTCACTTTTCTGTGTAGTTGAATTTTCGCTTCTCGAATCGCGAAGAAAATGAAGCTGTCATACATTCGTCAGTATGTTGACGCATAATGAGTATCACATGAGTGGCAGCACACATACTATGCTTTCACGCCATCATTTGTGTTTGATCCGAATAGTTTTTTTTTTCTTGTCCTTCTAACTTTTCTTTTTCTACCCATGGTAAACGAAACCATCAATGGCATGTGAGTCAACCAGCATGAATCACAAGATCAACGTCAGTGATGATTGAGTAAACCTGGTAGATGAAAGAAAAATACGACCGTAGCAAGAACAAAGAAAAATCGAGTGTTACTCTTTCTCTCTTCTTTCAAACTTATATAAAGCAACCAGTACAGTTTCGAATAACGACATTTCTCTACTAGCCAAAAAACCAAATTCATTTGATTTCTCTTACAATATGCCAGAAGGTACGCTTGAAGTGTTTGTCGTCGAAGGACGAGAATTGAAAGACAAAGATATAGTCGGTCAAAATGATGCCTACATCGAAATTTACACGGACAAGAAGTACAAACAACGAACGAAAACGATTTCCAATACAAATAATCCTGTGTGGAACGAGCGATTTACGTTCAATGTTCACAAGGGTGATGATTCAATTCATTTTGATGTATACGATGCTGATGTTGTTGGCAAAGATGCGATAGGTCATTGCAAAGTAAAATTGAAACATGTCTTCGACGATGGTAAATTCGACGAATGGGTCAAACTACCGGCAATGTTCGGTTTATCGTCCAATGGCCAAATTCATATCATCATGAGTTTTAGAGTAAGCAACACTTTTGTTTTGCTTTTCACAAAAGAACTAAATCTATGTCTTTTCATTTTAGCCCTCGTAAATCCATCTTGAATTGATTCACACGAATGACTTTAATTTTTTTTTTTTTGATAAATTGAGTTTGATTTTTTCTATACCTTGTCATAGTTTCTAATGCAACCTATTATGATTTTGTTGCTCTCAAGCAAGAGTTCTTTTCGATACCATTCATTAATAAATATATACCGAACACAAACACATTTTTCATCTATGTAGAAACAGGCTAATGAAAAGAGTGAAGCTGAAAAAAACACCGATTCAATCTCATTTCTATGAAGTATCGAATTCACACAATCAAAGAGAAATACAAGAAAATGTGGCCCGTTACAATGCATCGTCTATCGTTATGGAAGTGTTATGTTTCGTGAAACTTCTAGGTGAATAATATGACCGTGTCATATGTATATGGACATCATATCTTTTGTAAATGACTGTCTTCGTGAAGTGGTACGATGATCGAAATATAAATATTGATCAATCTGTCAAAACGCTAAAAGAAAACTCTGATTACCCAAGCAGTCAAAAAAGTTAAATCGAGGCGTTATAACGACCGTTTTGCGTTTTATCTTGTAACGCATTTTACACAGTCAAAAAAGTCCGAATTTTGGCGTTTTAAGAATCGCATTTTTTTCAGCTTTCACATCGTTAAAATGGTAGGAAGAGACAAATGATTAAAACGCATTTTCAAGATCAACGGTTTAAAACGCGTAAAATCGGACATTTTTGACTGTGTACAACGCATTTAAACTAGAGAAGAATGGATATAACTCACATACCTTAATATTACAAACAACATTAAAATACAGTATTTACTAATAAATAAGAGATACCAGGTAACATCGGTTCGAAGAAAGTCGGAAGTTAAAGAGCATATAACAGTAGTGTAGTTTCATTTCTTTTCAGAGAATAGGTTCATGGTCATGTAAATGTAAATATCGAGTGATAGCTGTCTAGCAATTTTTTTTTGTTTTATTTTTTCTTCCAAATAATAAAAAAAAATTTACAAGAAAAGCTAACTCAAGTGTTAAGAATCTCATGCATTTTAAATTTAAATTGTTAGATCTTGCTTATTCACTAGAAGATTTTTTCACTATTTGGAAGATAAAGTAAAATGTCAAATTTCGCTAGAAGACTATTGCTCGATTATTTACAACTACATGGCCATGAATCTAATCTCTGAAAAGAAATGAAACTACACTACTATTGTATGTTCTTTAACTCCTGACTTTCTTCGAACCGATGCTAGTTGGTATGTCTTATTTACTAGTAAACACTGAACTTTAATATTGTCTGTAATATGAAGGTATGTGAGTTATATCTATTCTTCCCTAGTATTAGCTACAGTTCTTACTTATTGGATCTATTTAAAAAGTTTTTCGAAACTAAATAATGAAGTAGAAAAAATGAAGCGTATGTCACACACTATTTTTCTCTATAAGCACTATTTACCTAAATATATAGCACAATGAATCAAGTACCTAATATAAAAGTTTCTTTTTTGCTACTCTAAATATATTTGGTAATGCCTTTTCATATTTAGAAAGTATATGTTGTGATCAAAATTAAAATTTTAATTTTGCCCAACATAATATCAGTCAAAAGCCAAATTTTAATTTTGGCTGGACAAAATTAAAATTCTTTTTTTAATGAAAAGAATAAGGTAAAATTTCGCATGAGTTGCCTAATTCGACTTATAATATAAATGCATCCTCAACACTCATATATGACTTATAAAATAAATCGATAGATATCGGAATAGATTTAGTTCTAGTTCTAGTTATATAGATATACATAGATACCCATGTTATTCATAGGAATAGATTTAGTTATAGCCATATTTATATAGTTATACAGATATACATAGATACACATGTTATTCATAGGAATAGATTTAGTCCTAGTCATAGTTATATAGTTATACAGATATACATAGATACCCATGTTATTCATAGGAATAGATTTAGTTTTAGTCATATTTATATAGACATACATACATATACATAGATACCCATGTTATTCATAGGAATAGATTTAGTTCTAGTCATAGTTAAACAGATATACATACATATACATAGATAGCCATGTTATTAATAGGAATAGACTTAGATTTTAGTTTAGATGTGGAGGTATAAATAAACCTGTCATTTTCGTAAAAGTGAGAAACAATGTCCTTTTTTTTGCTCAGGAGAATCCATACATGTAATACTTGAAACTTGAATTCAACTATTCAACTATTCAGCTATTCAAGTATTCAACTATTCAACTAATCAAGGTTAACTATTCAAGCATTCAAGTATTCCACTATTCGGGATAGCAGTTTCACCATGTACCACGCACACACACTATACGCACACACAATCGCTGCAGCTGAGGCTGCGGTGAAAGGAGTTTCCCCACGTATGATTGACACGAACTACTCGCACACAAGCATCGCAGGTGAGGGTGCCGCGAAAGGACTTTCCCACGTATGATTGACACGAACTACAAGACCACACAAGCATCGCAGGTGAGGGTGCCACGAAAGAACTTTCCACACGTATGATTGACACGAACTACACGCACACACGAGCATCACAGGTGAGGGTGCCGCGAAAGGAGTTTCAGCGAATTCGACTCTCAATGTGAGCAATGAGCATATGGTAGAATGATTCGTGAATCATTGTTAGTAGAATGCAATTGTGGAAAGTAATTTGTTGTCGTTGTTAATGAGTTTTTCCTGAGTACGATGTATTTTACAGTAAAATCGGAACAGGTCAGAAGAAAATAGTAGATTCGCAGTGTTAAGGATATTCGCTACTGATAAAATTGCGCATTCCGTCAGAGATCGATGTGAGTCTAGCACGAGCACCAAGGAGAATGGATCTGTAAGCCGACCGATGAAAATCCGTCCATACTTTACTACTTCAGGTTCATTTTATACCAGAACGAATTTCCTTAGCAAGAGGATTAGAAAAAATGAGATAACCAGAAAACCCGTATACCCGTGCGAAACACTCATACACAGTGGAAAAACCAACTCACACATCTGAATGATGGTCGATTCAAACACTTAAGTCGACCCCTTTGCGGTGGATTTCCGTAAATAGTTGAATAGTTGAATAGTTGAACTTGAACAGTTGAATAGTTGAATACTTGAATTGAACTTTCATGTTTGACACTACTGATTGGTTGAAGCGAATTTTAGAATTGCTGAGTCATTACTTTATTATACTATCAATTTTTTGAAACTCTCGGGACGTCGGGACATAGAGCGATTGGTTGAAACGAATTTTAAAATTGCTGAGTCATTAAATAAAAATAATCAACATTAATTATCTTATGACTCAAGCTATAATGTATGCTTGTTTATTGATTCCAAAGTCAACTGAATTCTCAAGTGAACTGTAACATATATCTATATATCTATGTAACTATGACTAGAACTAAATCTATTCCTATGAATAACATGGGTATCTATGTATATCTATATAACTATGACTAAAACTAAATCTATTCCTATGAATAACATGGGTATCTATGTATATCTATATAACTATGACTAAAACTAAATCTATTCCTATGAATAACATGAGTATCTATGTATATCTATATAACTATGATTAGAACTAAATCTATTCCTATGAATAACATGGGTATCTATGTATATCTATATAACTATGATTAGAACTAAATCTATTCCTATGAATAACATGGATATCTATGTATATCTATATAACTAGAACTAGAAGTAAATCTATTCCTATGAATAGTGTGGTTATATTTTGTGCATTTATATTATAAGTCGAATTAGGCAGCTACTCAAATTTCGACAACAAAATGCATGGATGTGGGTGAGGGTGTTTGGTTTTGAAGGGTGTGAGTGTAGGTAGGTGTGAAAGGAGCAAGGATCTAGGGTTACCATCTTGCTATTAATTTATATAAATTTAAATCATTGGTAATCAAGTTTAAAACAAATTAAATTTTATTCATAATTTAAATTATCAGAATTTATATTAAAAGTAAATTTTGCTTTAGACAATTTAAATTTATTTTCAACTTTTAAATTATGAAAAAAAATTAAATTTATTTTAATTGCAAATTATGAGAAAAATAGCCTAAATTTATTTTAAATTTAAATTACCGATAATTTAACTTACGCAGTAATTAAATTGAAAGTGAATATAAATTGACACTCCTACAAGACCCCTATTGCACCCACACTCATATAATATTTGTTAATAATTTTTTTGAAATCAAAAAGTTGTGGCTACTTTGGCTTTTCTTTGCATCAAAAAAAATTTAATTTCGTCTAGTCAAAATTAAAATTTTAGTTCTGACTGATATTATGTTGGACAAAATCAAAATTTCAATCTTACCTCCGCAAAATTAAAATTTTAATTTTGACCATAACATATATATATATCATTTCGATGGCAAAAATCACTAAGAGATCAAAATATTTCTATCAAATGGGAGCTTAATAAAGAAACGGCTGAACAATTTTTTAATATTTTTATCCATATCCTGAATTATTCTTATGTTTACTATTTTTGTAGTAGCGAGCTTTTTGATGTAGATTTGACAGATTCATAGTAAAATTTGTTATGAATATTATTTTTTTTCCTCGAATAATTTGAATTAAATTTTAGTCGGTGGATACTTTTATTTTTGAAATAATATATAATTATTTCGACAAGAATAGGGATCTAACTGAGAAAGAGTAAAAGAAAATATGTGAACCTTCTGTGATTTTTGTGACCAAAATAATATTTTTGATTTTGAAAAAGGGATTTTTGGACTTACTTGACTGAGTTATTCTTGAGAAAATTAGCGCACGAAAAATAAATTTAATCAGAGAATAGAGGAAATAAAAAAAAAAGCGGATCCCTACATGTATTATAGAATATTTAATTAAGACTCTTTTTTATAAACTTATATGCTTGGGAATAAATAGAATGATATGTATCGCTTGAATAAGGAACAATAGGAATTACTGAATAGTTATGAGTGTTGCTCTTTGTCTTGTAGTAATAAAGAAACAAAGAAGTTCGATGCTACTGGTTAGCGCTATCACCAACAGAATAGAAGAAATAGATAAGTTCGTGAAAAGCTTTCGTTTTATTCAAGTTAAAACGCATTACTTGCCCTCTCCTGATCTTTTAACCCGTTAAGACGCGTTACTTGCTCCAACATGGTCTTTCAACCCGTTAAAATGCGTCAACAAAAAGTTAAACGCGTTGAAACGCAGTTATTTCTTTTATGTGTTCAGTCAACGTGTTATAAAGCGTTGTTTTCTTCTATTCTAACCTTCAACGCGTCAAAACGGTGTTTTGGCGTTTATCTGTGTGCGTGGAAACAGGTTGATTTTTTTACCAGTAATAAAAACATATACATACTTGATACCTATGAAGACAAGGCTAGAGAGCACATTTCATACGTATTATGATTGACTTCAACAAAGCTATTTTCCTTTTTTATAGATAGAAAAAAAACACTGTACGACGAAGAAGAACCAAAATATACAGATACAATGTAAATAATTAAATGATCTTTCAATTACAATATGCCGTTCATTCATATATCTGCCCCTTCCGATTTTTCTTCTTTCACTCTACCATAGTCCATAATGATAATGCATACGATATAAATCTTTTTTTCTTTGTATACTGTGAGCCATATTCATCTAGCAGGCCTGTCCACGTTTGTTTAGTTTATTTTCAGTAAGTCTTGTTCTTTGTTTTCAATCTTATATTTATTGTGTAAATCTTGTTTCAAACTCAAACGTTTGTAGATGCCAAGATTCATTACAAAAGATCAAAGTTTTTCTCGAAACAAACGTGGACAGAGCTGGTAGATGAAATATGGCTAACAGTATACAAGAAAAAAAGGATTTATTCGGTATGAATTGTCAATATAGACTATGACGGAGTGAAAGAAGAAATTTAAGAAGAGGAAATATATATGAATGCCAGACACATAGTAATTAAAAGATCATTTATTTCTTTGCATTGTATATTGATAAATTGGTTCTTCTTCATCACACATTGTTTTTTTTGTTATCTGTAAAAAAAAGTATGTTTTTTTTTGTTGAAGTCAATAGTAATCCTTAAAAAAAAATATTTTTATTATTGGCAATAAAAATCAGCCTGTTTTCTTGAGCCGTAACAAAGATATTCAATTGTTTCACGATAAAGTAACTTTTGAGCCGCCGTATATTTTAAAAATTGACGAAATATAAACATGAATCATTTTTGAAGATTTTAAAAAAATGTTTATCATATTTTTGATAACTTCATTATCGTTTCATTAAATACGTTTTGACTAAAATACGGATGTTGATATTCATTAGAACAAAAATAAATTCGTTAGTTACTGAATTTAGTTCATAAATGGTTTATGTCGAAAGAGAAAGATTCTAGTAGATCTTAAAATCATATTCAATTTGAATGATTATTAATTGATTTTTATGATTCTATTTGTATATTTAGGTTTTAACAAGGAATTTTTATGAATTTAATGAATACTTTAATTAGATAATTTAATTTTTCAATTTCAGATATGATGTTGGAAAAAATCGATTGTCATATAGAATAATAATAATAATGAGAAGTAATTCATCAAATGAAGTCAAAGTATCTTCATCGCGGAAAAGTATCTTATCGGCTGTACATTCACATTTAATTCGTGCTCTTCAACGATTAAATTTGTTTTCTGATAATCCATTTTGGTCACCAGTATTAAATTTTGATGAACAAACTCTTAGTACTCGACTTTTCCTTATATTTATTTCTATATCTCTATTAGTTGTTATTGGTTATGCTAGTTTAACTGTTCGAACACATAATGTAACTCTATATAAGTTTTCTATATCGGACTTTGAAAGACTTGAAGCACGTTATCCAAGTACAATTAACGTTCCATGTACTGAAGTATCAGTACCTTTTAATAAATTTTTGAATTTATCTCCACGATTTCATCAAGTATGTTTAAGTTCGTTTGTTCGAAACAAATGGATTTCGTCTTTATTTCTCTTCAATGCGACATCTCATAATATTTTGGATTTTCGTACATTTGCTTTTGCTCAATATCGTTCTCTTCGTTTACTTTGTCAGTTAGCACGTCAAGCTATTAAGGATACTCATCGTACATTTAATTCTACTCATTTAGTTAATCGTAATACTTTTTCACGAGCTCAATTTAACGAAATAGCTTCTGTTCTTGCTGATAATCTTCAACGAAATGTTTTAACTAATGAAAAACGAACGGCAAGAGTAGTATCAATGATTATAGCACGAAATCGATTATTCTCAGCTTTACGTACAAACTATTATATTCACTCTGTACCTGGTTCAAGAAGATATTTAACATATTATGCAGTTTATATGGAAATAAATGGAACAGAGGAATCATCTTGTGATTGTTTATTAAGAGGAAACCAATGTATATATCCAGCTGGTGCTTTTTATAATTGGACTTTACCAGAATTAGGAAAATCAGCTAAAAATAATCCACCACCACAATTTCAGGTCAGTAAATTTTTTTATGTATAATGTAAAAAAGTTATTGTTAGAAAGAGAAATATTCATTTAAATTTTTGTATCAAAATGTCAAAAATTATGTCAAGTAGAACAGCTTAAAAATATCTGCCATTATAATAATTTTTTTATGTATTAATAGAAACAATAACTATGTTTGCATGGAATTATTGAAGTAGTTGTAAATTCTGGTTAGATATTCTCTAATGAACTTCACTTATTATGGTGCGCACTATAGTCGAACGTGTCTATAACAGATTTTTTAATAATCGTAGTGTATTTTATTCTTTTGTTGTATTAGTGTGAAGCTCTAACCAACTTTTTTTTTGCAGTATCCCACACATTTATCGATAGCTTCTATCGAGATCTATCCGATGATATTATTTGCATGTACGAAAAAACAAATCTTTACCATATTGTCCAACGACTAATATAATCTCAATTTTCAAGTTACTGAGAAAGACTAAACATTCTTACATATTTTTCCTTGATAGGCAAATATCATATATGGTAGGATCCGTTCTATTGTAGACAAGATTGTTAGAATATGAAAAAATGACTATTGAAAAAAGGTTTAAAAAGGAAGTAAAAGCAACTATTATCATTCTTTCGTATTAGAAAACCTGTTATTCTTAAAATCAGTATATTTTTTCTTAGTTAACTATAAGTAGCTAATTCGAAAGAATGATTGGTTGTACGTTGATGGATATAATTATTGTTTTTGTGCCTTCTTTTTTTTCATATATGTGTTTTGTATAGATCGTATGTATACTTATCTTTAGATACGAAATCTATTGATGATGTGAAACGTTTCATAGTACGTAATAAAAAGCACGCACACCAGGGAATTACGAAGAATTAAATTATAGTAGATAAATGAAGATGTATATGGCAAAAACGATGTATTTAATACAATACATAGGTCTAATACGAATCATCGATCTTCGGTGGGAACAACTCTATATAACCCCATTTGCCATGATCGAAATAATTATCTTCAGCTTCAGTTTATCATATGCCTGCAGTTTATATCCGCACTAAGATTAAAGAGGGATGCGTGTAAGCTTCGGCAAAGGCAATAGCTAGAGACCTGTACTTGTCAGTAATTTCGACTGTTTTTTTGCCGGAAACTATATAAGACGAAATTGCTTTAAAATTCATCATCTTCACAAAAACATTCAAAAAAAATTATACAAGAAAATGGTGTTCTGTTTCGATGTAATTTTGATTTTCACATCTGATTCAGGTAGAGGAACTCCATATCTATAGTCCAAGGCACAATTCAAGTTATTATCTTTTCACATCTCAATGTTGAACTAACAAAATCACTTAAGTATGCAGTCAAATTCTATAGAATTCTGTTGATTTTTAACAGAATTTTCTTGAAACGAGACACTATTTTCATGCATTTTTTGAATTTTTTTCCATGATGATGAACTTTTAAATAATTTTGTCTTGCAGTATACTACTCAAAAAAGTCGTCTGAAGTTCTCCTATTTCGATCGTTGAAAACCGAAGGTGACTAGCTTTTGTTGTTGTTCAGTTATTGAGATTACATCTACCTCTTTTTAATTTCAGCGCAGGCATTGGTATATAAATAAAAATTAGTTATTATCGAAATTTACAGTTGATGAATATACTTTGAATGTTGACTTTTTCTCATAAAAACTGCGAAATTAATTTAAAAAAACGATTTTGAAAGAGTTATAATATGATTTTAGATTCCTGGACTAATGGCTGGATGTATACCTCTTGATGCTATGCGTCAATCAACTCTTGAATGTTTATATAATCAATCATGTGTAAATGCAATATCACTTCAACCAAAAATTTCTCGACCAAAAGCTTTAAATGCATCTTTATCACGATTTTCGTTGAATTCAACAATAGGTTCAATATTCGATGAATCTTTATTTGTAGAGTCTTGGCAAAATCAATCGAGTTTTGAAAATTATTACGCTGCTTGTGCACCTCAATCTCTCTCCTATAGTTATGAAAGTCGATTTCATCTTGGTACGATTATTACTATGAGTCTTGGTGCTTTTGGTGGTCTTGTTATTGTATGGCAATTAATTACACCAAGTTTTATCAAAATTTCGAAACGAATTAATTGGAAAAAACAACAAAGAAAATCACGTACAACTATAGAACAAACACATGTAGAACATGAAATTTTAAAAATGGGACCAAAACCAATAAATAAAGGTTAATAATCTAACTATCCATTAAATATACACACATATTCAACACTATTTTCTTTACAAAAAATAACTAGAAATTTTTTTTGAATTCACTATATAAACTTAGCCGATCAAACTTTGAACATGTTAAGTTTTAGAAAAAGAAAACAATATTTCTTGAAAAGAATGATTTCCATAGAAAATACAAAAAATCTTATGATATTTGGAAATAGTATGTTGAGATATATTAAAAATTCTATATTTCATCGTAAAATATGTCCTATCAAAATTTTCTTCTTAGAAATTATCAGTAATACATAGAGGAAAAAGTATATTTTTGTGCTTGCTTGTGCACGTATCTTGCTTTTTTTTTCATGAAAACCCATGTTTAACAAACAAAATTAAAAATACGATCTCGTTTTGACTATGTGATATGAAAATAATCTTGTTATTCAAGTATTGACTTTTGTCAGCCAATACACTTAATGTCCAATACAAATTATCACTATTCTATAATTAGTATCAGATAAAGGTCAAAAAATGACGAAATTAGATCGATTCATTAATACCGCTTTCATGTCTGATATCAATCTATGCAAGTACTTTTTTTCATTTCGTGCATACCACACGATTGTTTTTTCTTTAAATAAAACTGTCGAACTTAGACAGTGGATATCAATATATAAATTTCAAACAAAAATTCTTAAAAACTTTAACATTCTTTTGCTCAATTACTTGAACTCCCCATACACACAGGAGAAACACATATTAGTCACAAGAGCTGATATATGTTTCTATGTAGTTGGCATGCTATCAGACAGACAATCCGAATGAAAAAGCCATTCATGTCGTGCTGAGATTCATTTTATGACTAGTGATATGAAGTTTCTATCATAGTACTATGAAGTTATATGCCGAATAACGTAACTATTTAACCATATCGACTTAGTCAAACTGATATATTAAAAATACACGTTTTCAATCATTTTTTTCCACTGTAGATTCTTTATGAAAAATAAAATAAGAATGTCTTTTTCTTTAGTTGTAACTGCTTATGTTCATCGAACGATTCATAATTTTAATTTATTTTCGTCGGATAACAAAAATGATCCCGAAGACGAACGTATTGGTATCATTGCTACTCGTCTTTACATTTTCTTCATATTTATCGGTCTTATTATTCTTGGTCTTTATACACTGTTATCACAACGTAGTCAAACACGTACTGTTCAATTACCTTCAATTTCAGAATTTGAAAATTTACATTCAATGCATACGTTAACATTAAATTGTCCATGTTCACGTTTTTCAATGTCACATGCTCGAATAATGTCTCTTTATCCTCGTTATCATGCGATATGTTCAAGTGATTATCTCAAAGATTATTGGTTATCTTATTTTGGTCGTGTAGAAATTGATCTTGATAGTGTTGCATTTTTAACAACTGACTTTCGTATTAGTGGCCAATCATTTTTTAATATAATAAGCATATTATGTGAAACAGCAAATGAAACAGTTGAAAATGCATTAAGAGTGTTTGGATCAAATCGATTAGTTACAATGAATGCATTATCACGTTCACAATTTCATATGGAAACTTCAATACGTTTAAAACAATTTGAAAAACAAACAATAGCTTCTTTTCTTGGTCTAATTGAATTAATTATTTCATCAATTCATACGAATCAATTAGCGGAAGAAACATGGACAAATGTTGGACCTCTATCAACATATAATAATGAAACGTCAAAATGGTCATTTCGTTTTCGACCAAGAGATTTTTATATAAATTCATGTTCATGTGCTATATCTGATCAATGTATTCGTCCTGTTGGTTTTCATTTGCAAACAGATGACATTCGATCTACACCTAATATAACCGTACCTGGTTTAGTTCTTGGTTGTTACGCAATTGATTCTCTTCTTTTATCTACATTAGAATGTTTTTACGAACAAAAATGTATCAAACTTCTTGTTGATAATTATTATTTTGATGTTGTTGGTTCAGTTCGACCATTAGACAGTCGTGCTGTTAAGATACAACCACTTGAATATGAAAGTAGTCGTTTTTATCCAAATACAACAATAAATGAAATTTTTTCACAATTATTTATAGAAGATTGGATTAATTCAAGTAATTTTACGTCATATTATGAACGATGTGCACCTTTACAATGCACTTATACTATAAAAAAACGTTTTGATATTGCTTATATGTTAGCTACCATGCTTGGATTTTATGGAGGATTAAGTACCATTTTAGAAATCATTTTACCACCACTTGTCAAGACAGCTTCACAACAATGGTCAAAAAGAAAAAAATCAGTACAATTAGGTGATCCTAGCGTAGTCACAACAGGTAAGATAATTACTATTATTTCATTCAATAAAATAAAAAATTGACGATGTTCTATGAATAAAACAGATCATTGAAACAAAGACAAATTTTAATTAATCTTGAAAAAACTAATTAGAAGATATTTTACATGAATATTTTCCATCGAAATAACGAGACATTCTAAGTAATACGAGCTCCTTCAAAGATTAAAACATTTCTTATCAAAGAAACATTTTCAAAAAAAACAAAAAAAAACAAAAAAAAACAATGAAAGATATCGAAGGATAACATATGATTTACTATCAATGAAGCAATTTCTGACACTATCAAAACGATGAAAACATGTTTTATAACGAGCTTAAAAAAAACACAATGTTATAGTAATAAAATTTCATAGAAACAAACTTTCATCAATCACATTTCTTTATTGAAAAGTTTATTATCTTCACTATAAGCTCAAATGAAAGAGGTTTTTTAGTAACACAAAATTCTCAGAAATATGGTGTAGCCACGTGAAAATCCCAAGACTATTGATGGGGGGAATGTATTGAAAAATGTTTTACAATAATGCTAAAAAAAAATCTTTTTAGTTTTACTGAGTAAAAACGAATAATCTTCAATTATCAAGGAGTGCGTTCCGTCACATCACACTTTCGTGGTCACTGAGCATATGAAATTTTTTAGTCAGTATGATAGAGTTGAATGTTTTACATGAATGCATTATCACAATGGTCTAAATTTTTACAGTCATAATAGTTTATCAGATGAAGTGAAAATTCACTAAATTTATAAAAGTTCAAAAAAGTGGGTACTCTTAAATTTCTTTTTTCTTGTTGCATCTTAGTCTAGTGCATTATGTCGATTTGTATGGTAACGCTTATGAACGAGGCGATTTTTATTACGATTTTGATTTTAACTAGCGAAAAATTCCCAATTGAAAGTATTTCATTGAAAATAATATACTTGTAATTCTTCACGTTTCAATAAACAGGGAAATTATTCAGTCAGATATTTAGACAAAAACCATCATTTGATAAATAACAAAAGATGGTGCTACTAGCTCTTTCCAGCATGAGATACATTCAAGTAAATGATTCGCGGGAGTAATTTGCATTCGTTTTATAATTCTAGAATAAGCAATTTTACATTGAAATCGTAATTGGTGATTCTAATTTTAAAAAATCCTTGACTTCATCCTTTGTATAACTGCATATCTTCAAAATTCAGGCTTGACCGAGTCTAGATCAGATCTAAATATTTACATTTTGTCATGTCTGACTCTGTACCCAATCAAAGCTTCAGACCCTGTTTTCAATCAACTTTGAATATGAATAAAGATAATTCACACTCAGTCTATATTATTCTCTTAAGTCCTTTCCATGTTGGATATTATTTACATAGCTAATAGTTTGGTATTTTCTTTTATGTCGAGTCTTGTTGAAGAAAAACTCGAGTTTTCACCCGGTCTAGTCGGAGTTTAGATCTGTTAGACTCAAGTATAGATATTTAATTTTTGTCGAGATTGAGTCTGTGCGGATTATTAAAAATACGAATCAGCAGCGCTTTGTTCCCCATTCTTAATAACACTATGTGAGAGTTATTCGTATGAAGAAGACTAGAAAAGATCTAATAAGTATTTATTCTATTCTAGACACAATAATGGATGTTTCATGTTCTTCGTCAAAAGAAACTCATCGTTCCCGTCATAGTATATCTAAGAAGCTACTATCGTTGAATTTGTTTATGAGTGAACCACCTTCTACAGAGAAACGGTTGCAAAATCAAGAAATCAAGGCTACTCGTATCTATATATTTTTATTTATATTATGTTTAATTGCTGCTCTTCTGTATTCTGGTCCATTCAGTGAAGAAAGAGAATCTATTAAAATAAAATTTCCAACAATAGATATTGTCAACGATCTTCATCAAAACAATATATCAAGTCTTTCATGTCCTTGTTCAAAAGCAGCTATTCCTTATTCGAATTTTTTATTAATAAGACCAAAATATCATTCAATATGTTCAAGTGAATATATTTCTCCATCATACAGTATGAATTTATTAAAAAATAATGATAATATATCATTAGCATTAAGTAGTCATTATCGTTTATTATCATCACTTTGTCATTCATCTTATCATTTCATTGAAAATGCAACCAATATCTTTGATACTCGTGAATTAGTAACTGTAGAAACATTAACTCGTTCTTCATTTGATATTCAAACAAAATCGTTACTTTCAACATTTATTTCTAAAATACCAGCTGATTATCGTCGTACACTTTCATTTATAGTTAATTCATTTAGTGTTAATCAATTATTACATCTTTTTACAAGTAATTGGCAAGTTGATTTTACTGATGAAAATGAAAATAATGTAATAAAAACATTTCCACGACGTTTTTCATCATCAAATTGTAGCTGTGCAATATCATCGAATTGTAGTGAACAACTAACAGATGATATTCTTATTGGTTGTTTTCCATATGACGGATTTCGTTTATCAAAATTTGAAAATTTTTCATTAGGAAAATTAAGTGATCAATTATTTGTAGACATATGGATAAATAAAACTAATTATACAAATTACTTTGAAACATGTAGACCATTAGAATGTCAATATACATTACCAAATAAAAACAATCTCATTATTATGTTAACAACTCTTTTAGGATTATATGGAGGTATATAAAAACAAAATAAAAAAATTATCTAAATTTCATTAATTTATGCTTAGGTTTAACATACACTTTACGTTTGATTGTTGGTCAATCATTACTTGCTTATCAATTGTGGAAAAAACATTCAACAGCAGAAACAAGCACAGACCTCACAATGGAGGTCGCTACTATCAACACTATATCCTGATTTTTTTTTCTCGTTTAATATAGCATATACACTGAGAGATCTGCAAACATGAGCGAAATTATAATAATATATTTTTTTATTTTTGTTGTGTAATAAAGTTGCATATGAATGTATTTGAAAGTGTTGCATTTGAAAAATTTATCTAACAAACCTATAATTCAATTTGTTTATTGGCGATACTTTTGTTTCTGATCATGTCCCATGTCATCAATTTTGCATTAAAATCGACGGTTGGCCGCATTTCATAAGAATATCTGATAGTTCGGACGGTTCAGTTTTTTTATCATGCTTTTTATAATGTTTCTATTAAATTACCGTTCTCAGTCTAGAAGAGATTGGTTTTCATTTAAAAATGTTGATTTTATATAATGCTACAGTATATTATGCCGGATGGCGCGATACTTTTTCATATTGTTTAAGTCTTCTAGTTAATGAGTATTTTTGTAGCGTCATCTTTCAAAAATAATCAAAGTGGAAAGCTAAGCGACAACAGCTGATGTGACTGGCGCAGATGGTTTGAACGAATATTAATGCATTGAGATACAAACGAAAATTAAGCTGAAAGTTCACGATTAACCGATGATTTTAGAGCGATTTGAACGATATGTAGTCGATTCTATAATCAATGTCTTATAATTAAACTTCAGTAGAAAGAGATTTCTTTTCTAAATTTAGAAAATGTCTCTATGATAAAGTAATTTTGAATGAGTTTATCTTTCATGTTGTATATCAAATGATGTTAAAGTAGAGTCAAAAAGTTTAAGGACAAATAGAAAAATATTTCATTTTCTTTAGAAAATAAATACAGACATTAAGAAAAGTAAGCATATTTTGTTCTGGGTTTAACAGATGCAGGAAACTGATTTGCAACGAATAGGAATATGAAGAGTCTGTGAGGAAGGTCAGGCCCTTATATACTATGAAAGTAAGCGTACTAATCATGACAAGCATCTTTTATGCTCCAGTTTCCTCGAGAAACTCTCTACTCACTTCGAAAGATGCTCATTCTCCTTTTAAACGATACAATAAGACGATTCACAATTGGTTGAGAAGACAAGAGTGTAAGGAAAAACGAGAAGATCCAGGTTGTGGAAACGATGGAGTCGCCCCGTACTCTCAGATTTGATCCATGGTTGAGATAGTGAGAATCGAACTGAAAACGGAAGCATGAATTGATTTCGAGTCTGGGTGTCTGAAGTCGACAGAGTTCCATGAATCTACTCGTTTCTGATCCTATCTTCTTCACCTAGGTCGTATGAGTACTCTAAAGAGTATACGAAGTTAATTCTAAAGAAGAATTTTGAAATTCTGCTTTTGATGGATTCTGACTGTCCTCACTAAGTTGTATAATAAGAATGATAGCAGCTTGGCAGTGGTTCTTATTGAACTGCGTACTCTTGATTGAATTACATTGGTTATGCATTTATCCTTTGCGACAGTATTTTTTGTCGAGTATTGAAAAGCATCACACGAACTATCTATGACAAAAATTCAAATCGAAGAGGCGAAAGATATCCGCAAAATACTGAGAGACATATTCTTTACATTATACTCGTGACTCTGTCTACATGTGCTTCACCTGGGCAAGGTCTTTTGATAGGTGTTATCTTTATTTTGGTCATATCATATTTCTCGATATACCTTCACATTTATGAAACATAAAAACATGTTGACTGATGCCTCAATGAATGGTGAGAGTTTTAGCTCAGATAGTGTGTTATGTAGCTTTTGTTGTTCTACTCCTGATATTAATACTAAATACATATGTTCTAAGAGTTGTTTTCCATCAACGATTTCTCATAACTCAACTGTGTATACAACTTGATCGATAATTGTTTTTTCATATGATGTCTATCATCATCAAGTTTTTACATCTAATGAGAAACTTCTCAATGACTGTAGAAAGGAGTAATCTGTCATTGAAATACAAAAATTTACGTTTTTCTTTTCTTAGAGTACTTGTTAGAAAATGACTGGAAGTGATGTCATGTTTCTGACTAAATCTTTTCTACAGAAATATTAGTGAGAATGAAAAAAACATAAAGGAAATTGTTTTTTATGACAATTACGAAATAGTAGGGTCTATTGTACTGAGTTTTTTTCTCCAAGAGAACATATTGTCGAAAAGAAACCTAATTGCAGAATTTTCAATGGAAATTATTAAATCATAACAAATATGTCTTTCGGATAAGTGTTCATCTGTTGATAGATTTAGCAACTGTTGAAAACTTACGGTGATAACAACGACAACTATTCGTATCTAGAGCAATAATTTCAGGAAAATACTTTGTGGTTAGATTTTCCAGTCAATATGCTGCCATAGAGATAAAATTCAAAATATCAGTTCTTACTATTTAGTAATAGATCATAAGCAAATATTCCGTTATAGATTTCTCGTTCTCATTGATACTTATTTGTGGATGAAACATGAAGTCAACAGCAAGAAATAATTTGAAGTAATTTTCTGGCAAATATTTTGAGAAAAGCAAAATGTAAATTCTAGTATTTTAGTGGTAGATCATAGTTATGGATAGCCGTTGAGAAGTTTCTCTTTATAAATAAAAAATCAACGATGATAATCATCATATGAAGAAAATAATCATCGACTAAGTTTTATATGTACTGGCGTGATGTGAAATACTTTATTCTTATAATTGATTAACATTAGTTTACGATGGTGAGATTCGTCATTTTTGTTTTAATTTTGTAACATTCTCATGATAATACTGTTCTCGTTAAACGAGAACGAAAAAAGTAAAAGTTAATTACCACATGCATATTTATTTTCCTGTATATTTTTTTTTAGATCTTTCTTCTTTTGTTCGTTGTCAAGAAGAGGTAATCATATAACTTATTAATTTTTTAACTTTTAGCATGTCACGATAGATTTCATTCTAAACGAAATAAAGAAAAAAAAGTCGAGATGTATGTACATGAATATCAGACAATTTTCTGCAATTTATTCGCCATTTAGCAATATGTCGTCCTGCCAACTATTCTTAAGAAAATTTTAAAAAAATTCAATCAAGATTTGTGTATTATAAAGTCAGTTCGATGATATCTTGATGCATCTTTTTGTATACAAGTTTAAGGCTCACTATTCATTCGTGACAAATTATTCTAATTGTATCTATGACGATATTCTCTGTAGAATGTACCGTAAAATATCATTTTGAAATTTTAATTCATAATTTCGAATAGAGTAAATGATATTTGAAAAAAAATGATGAGAGTTATCATGATTCATATTTGTAATTTCATTATTGTGTATTTTTGCGTAAAACATTTTTATCTATCTTCGAAATAGTCTGAAAGATGTTTTAATGTTGTACATGGGTCTAAAGTTACTCTTAACCATCGAATTAGTATACTCTACATAACCAAGACATCACATGTGTTTTATGTAGGCTTTCATTATACTTGTATCAATGAATTTCTTCGCCGCATTTCTCTTTCATGTTTTTTCATTAAACCAAATATTCTATAGAATGTGTTGATCATAATTTTAGGAAAATTTCATTATTGTACTGAGCACGTATGAAGCTGAATAAATTAGTTAGGAGAAGTACAGCTACACCAAGAATCGACATAAAATACAACAGAACTAAAGTCTGTATATGAATAGAAAAATAGATGTCTGATTATTCACGATGAACTATCAACTTAATTTTTGAGATTTTCTAACGATGTCATATCATTCATAATCATTATGTAAAAAATATTATCTCACTTTTTCTTATATTGTCTATAGTATCCTATTACACAATAATGCCTTTTCTCAAGAAACTGGAAGTGCGTGATTTGGCATCAAAATATGGTCACAGTCAGCGTGGTATTATTGCTCTGGAGCCCATTCGACGTGGAGAATTAGTCCTTGAATGTGATATGTCCACGTGTAGCTACTATCCAGCCGATGATCCTCGTAATAAAATGACACGAGCGGAAGTACTTGCATTGATGGAGAAGTATCCCGAAGCAAGTGATTTTATTCTTGCTTATACCTACATGATCGATGACGATTTGTTCAGTGTACCACGTAATTATACTACGCAAGAGATTACAGATAAATGTGTTTTCTTCAATCACTCTTGTGATCCAAATTGTGGATTTGCAACTGATGATGAATTCTCGGTTATGGCTATACGTGATATAGATGTTGGTGAAGAACTCACCTATCATTATGGCTGTTTGGATTCAGAAACAACTCTGTCGATGGATTTCACATGTAAATGTGGTGCGAAAATTGTGTTGGTCAATTAAAATATGACTTTTGGCGTGATCCTGAATGGCAAAAGAAATATGAACAATACTCGGGCGATCATATTAAACAAAAAATTAGGAAACTACGCGAAGAACAAGCACAGCAATCGTGAAATTATTTATGAACAAAATTAAATTTTCCAAAAACAGTATTGTTCTCTCTTTTTCTTAATAATCATGAGTAGAATTCAACGTATCTAACTGGTACTTGAAAACAAATTACATTGAACTTTAATGTTTGAAATGAATGAAAGAGGAGGCAAAAGTGCAGGTAAATAAATTAATAAACAAAAATTCAAATGTAGTATGAATCTTGACTTGCTGCTCTTGGTGAGAATACCGTGCATGAATCACTAAGGTGTGGGTGTGTGGTGGTACTATCGGTGTTGTGTTTGTGTGTGACTAAAATCTTTGAAGAAAATTCTACATCCACGCCCTCGATAGAGTATATTCGACAAAATCTGCAATTACTATTCTAGAATAGTTGATTGCCAAACATGAAAAATGTTTAATCCACAACCAATATCACGAATGCATCAACAGATAATCCATCTTGCGTTCTTCGCTAAACTCGGTGACAATGCGAAGAACAGCATATTCATCTAAGTATTATGAGGACGTTAATGGCATCTAGTTTTTCAAGACTCGCACTCGTACTATTTGAGAGCAAGTGAGTGGAAAGAGTGAAGTCTCACGCCTATAATCTTCTATTAAATAGTATTTGTTAATTCGAAATTGGCAACATTTTTTTTTCAATATGAAGAAGATTCTTTGTCAAGAAATCAAATTTGACGCCAAAACAGTTTGATCATGTGAGTTGAATCGCATAGTTTCTCTGGTAAAACTGAGCAAAAGTCAAGAAAAATTTCATCACATGAGCAAGTTTTGATGAAACAAAGCTCACGTAAAAATCAATGGTCATGTGTCGAAATTTCCGTTCTCTATTAAGGTCTTAGAATGAAGATCACATCTTTCCATCGTTGCTTCTCGTCGCTAGAATATTCTTGTTTTTTTTTGTTAAACTCAATCTGATTGAAAATGATTTCGATTGGTTGTTGCAAGTGTTTGAAACTACTGTGTCGAGAAAACAATTGTCTCAGAAATCGAATGATTCTCATAATTGAAAGATCAAATCAACGTCTTCGTTGACATTTTCTTTCCAATGAATCGATCCTTCACGTTTGAGGAATGAATATCAGTGAGACAAGCATGTTAATTTCGCCATTCGAATCTCAAAATTTATTGACCATTCTTCCTCAAAATGCGAATATGAGTATGGTTGAGGATTTTTTACTGCTTTACAATCAAACAATGGTTGAATGGTCTACTGAATCCCATAGCAATAATTCAAGAAAACTTCAATTTATTCAATGCATTCGTCAACTTGCACGTGACATCAATTATTTCAGTCAAAAATACGTCGATGATTTCGCTGTGGTATTTCGAGCTATTTATTATGAGTAATTGAAAGCGATAGACAATGCTCGAAATCGGCGAGATGTCTGTGCCGTGGTGAAAATTCACATTGTGTAAAAAGTAACAGTAGTTCGTCAAGCATTTGAAGCTCGACTCGTTCTAGACAGTGAAGCAGATTCGAGTCTCACTCAAATCAAGCTTGATATTATTATCACAGACGACAATGCCAACAAGACCAATGCAAATATTCATTTCAGTATCGGACCATCCTCATTTGCTGGATCGTTGAATGGAATTTATGGACAAGGAAGCTTGCTAGGTCATCAAAGTAGCAGTGTAACCTGATTGATTGTTCCGTATTCTACGGCAGCACGAGCGAAGCCAACTTTCTATAAAATCGGTGGCCACTTGTTCTATCTTATCGACGGAGAAAAATTCGATATTCCTCTGTTTCCTGACACTATTCTTGTCGAACCCCAAGGATAACTTCACGTTACCTACTTTCTCGATCGATATGTTATCGGCCCAGACCTACTGTCGAACAGTCCAATCAAGCAACATTCTGAACTTTTTACCATTCCAATGCTTGTCACCAACGATAGATTCGGCCCAGCAAAACATTTTCATATTGCATCATCACAAGCGGTCATTATCGAAAATGAGAAAGGTCTTCTTGTTGACTTTCAAATCATATCCATGCAAGTCGATAATCACACAAAAATCCCTGCTCTTACGGCTTCCCTTGGTGATGTCAAGCAAATAGAAGTGTTAATATTCACTAGACAATGCTGGCTTCACTGATGTGACAATTTCAAAGTTTTAATGCAACGTTCACTGAAAAGAATTCAAACGGTGATTTCAAACTATCATTAATTGCCTCGTTGACAAGCCACAAACTCATTCGTCTTGTTTCGTTAGATTTACTCGATACGAATCTGCAAGATGGATTGTGGGATTTCTTGGTAAACGATTATCCTAATGCTGCATAGATTCCAGGCACAATTTTTAGTAGTACAAACGCCACGCATTTCTTTCTCGTATACTATGTTCAAAATATGAGCATTGATGTTAATGTGACTACGTTGATCATTTTAGTGCGAGCTACTCTCGGCATACTTGTACCATCATCGGCATACATCTATATCCGTGTAAATAATGCGCTGCCTTCTCAAGAAGTTCACAGAGTTCGCCAAATTTTGCAACCAAAAGATGTGACTATCAATACTCGGGTCACTCGATCTGTAGAACATTTACATGCGGATGATCGGTACGAAAACTATTTAGATATTTTTGATCGACTCAATAAGAATGATGGGGTCATCGAATATGAAGTGAGAATGACGAATGTATCAAGGCAAACAATCCCAATCGAAACAACAACATCAAGGAAACATCCGATTAGTAGCACCTTAGTAATGATGAAGACATCTGTAGAAGAACTTCACAACTCATCGAAGATAATCACGACCAGTACAATTTCTAAAGTAAACTTTACGATAAATGACAACAATGTGACGACAAAACTGACCATCGAATCGAGTGCCGTATCTTTCATAACAACGAGCATATCAAAATCACACACAAGTCAAGTTTCACAGACGCAAGCATCTTCTTCTATGTTTTCTTCATCAACCAAACACTCGACTCTACCAACTCTATCTACTAGTAGAACATCGATGATGCCCACAACGAGCTCGAGAAATGCATTATACACTAGTTGGACGACAACGGTTAGATCTTCATATTACACATGCGAAATGTTTCAACCGTTTCACAACACTGAAATGTCAAAACCAAACTCTTCCATTTCATTCACTACGATCAGAATATCTACAACTCCACGTACTCGTTATAGAAGCATTTCGGGTTTTTCCACATCTTTGCGTACAACTTCAACAACCACTATCTCAATGAGACCTATCAGCAACTATTTCATTTAATTCTTTCTGGCTCTTTTTGTCAACTTCGTTAACTGGACACTTGATTTAATCACCAATCAACTTCTACAAGATTTCGAGTATGCTCTTGGTGGATCTAATGCAATTGGTCTTTTTAATGTAGCTTCTAATTCTATGCTAGCGAAACCTTTACAAACTAGGATTACAGCTTTTGTTCAACTGATAAATGTCGACGAAAGAACACCACATCAACTATTAACTGAAATCAGAATACAAGTAGAAATTGTTACTTCAAAACTGAAACAAGGTGCACTCACTGTATGAATGCAACCGTCATCGATTAGCGACGTCAAAACTTTGTACTGGGATGGTAATGGAATCATCAGTGAGAACTGTGAAAAGTCGAAAGACGAGACGCGTATTATTCACTTGAAAATAATCATTGCAAGTAGCATCGGTGATTTTCTTTATGTTGTAACGTGCCTAATGATTTGCTACTGCTGCTGCTTTCCAAAAATCGGCTTCGACAAAATGAAGAGACCTTAAAATGATATTGAACTCAACGCTTCTTAATATGCTTTTTATGTGGATTATCAATAAATATTCATTTGCTTTTCAAATAGTTATTGTCAAGCTTTGACTAAATCATAAGAAAATGAATATTGCTATAATTTCAATGAACGAGTTCCTAATGCACGGATAGAATATGACATTTTCCTAATAGAAAAGCAACATACTTTCTGCTCTTTAAAAACAAATGTCATTTAGACATATCATTCGGTTCGATATCAGTCGTATAAAAATGAATCCTTTAAAATATAGTATCTCATGAATATGTCAATATACTTTAACAATGTCAAGTGACCCTAATTAAGCTCACAGTTTTCTTGTCAAAAGTCAGAGCAAGATTGCTTTCGTAGTTGGCATAAAACCCTGAGAAGATTTACGTTCTTATTGTTTTAATAGACACATTATTTTATTTTGCACTAATAGAGTTTCCGAATTATGCATTGAATACTAACTAACTCTTCTTGTTTTCGAAGGCTATGCAGTAATAGCCAAGTGAAAACGGTTGAAAGTCACTCATGAGTAATACAGACGCCTGGAAAATGCGAACTTGAACATTTCTATTTCAATGTATTTTATGATCTGATTCTTGTTGATGTGCATGTAAATTGACTTTGTTACAATAAGGTTTATCTTGCTTAATCCATATTCTTCGAATAAACTACAGTAGAACATTTCTCAAAGCATAGCACTCAATTTTGTGCAACCGTAATTATCGATGTATAACTTTGGCAACTAATTAGTTTTTCATTACTCTCATATTCCACAACACGGTATGCGATAGGACTATCACTCGTTTCAAATGTGATATCGAAATTAATCTCATGTACATTGTCAATACCAAACTTAAGATTGTCAAAGAACCGCTAGAGACCACAAAATTATCTAACATGATAAACTATAATCTTCTCCGAACCGCTCTTCCTAAAATTTCATGAATTCGTACGTAGTCGTCTGTCTATAATCGTGCAAGTGACATCAAAAGCCTTACCGTTGAGAATATCGGCTGTTCGATGATATTTCTAATTGGTCACGAATGTTCTTTTATCATATATGAAAATTCTGGGTATGGTTAGATAAATGTGAGTAATAAAAAGACAGAAATCCACATCCAAAGAA